GCGACTTAAATGCTAAATTAGGACAACCCAGACAATATGAATACTTAGTTACGAAATCAAACGGATACGGAGAAAGAAACCAGAGAGGTGAGAGATTGATAAACTTCGCGCTTGAAAATAAAATAGCAGTCTTGAAAATAAAATAGCAATCCTAAACACCTACTTCAAAAAAAAAGCCGAACCAACGATGGACATGGCGCTCACCAAATGAAACGTACAAAAATGAAATCGATTTCATCATGTCAAATCAACCAAAACTGTTTCAAAACATTGAAGTATTAAATGTCAACTTTTCTTCAGACCACAGACCAGTAAAAACGGCAATAGTACGAGCATTTACAAAACACAAAAAAAAATAGGTCAAATTTTAGCAGCTGCCAACACTCTACATTAAGGAAAGAAGAGGAAATATTGAGATACAAAGAGAGTATTACATCCTATATACCAGACTTACAAGACTGCTCCACCACTTCTGTACAAACCTACTATGATAAAATAATAAAAGCTATCTGCCAAAGTCTTCAGAGTGCGCATTCAGTAAATAAAAACGACAACAAAAGTAAAGGAATATTATCAGAGCGTACCTTAACACTCATGAAAAGAAGACATGAGCTACAAAGAACTAAAAATAAAACTCGACCACTAAAAAATGAGCTTTCAGCACTGTATAAGTTAATAAGCAAACTTATAAAACAAGATTATACAAAATATAGATTTAACACCATCGAAGGACACCTGGTACATGCAGGCAGCTCAAAAAGAGCATTTAAGAAGTTGCAAACATGTAAAACATGGATCGACGGACTAAATCGGGCAAATAAAACATTTAATAATCGAAATGACGTTATAAACATTGCAACTGAATTTTATAAAACCTTATACAAAGGCAATGAACAAAACTTGACAGGACAGATAAAAACCAATATTTTAAACCCTTATAGCAAAGAAGCTAGAGCACAGTTCGACGTAAAAGAAATAGCGGAAGCAATTAAACGTATGAAATCAGAAAAAAGCCCAGGCCCAGACAACGTAACTAACGAAGCAATAAAAACAGCCTGCACTCAGCTTACTCTACCTCTGACTCTCCTGTTCAACCGCATACTAGAAACTACCGATACACCTACTCAATGGTCAGAGTCAAATATAATATTAATTTATAAAAAAGGAGACCCACGCGATATAGGTAACTACAGGCCAATAAGCTTATTACCGTGCTTGTACAAACTCTTTTCTTCGCTAATAAATCAAAGAATAAGCAATACATTAGATTCGGTACAACCCATTGAGCAAGCGGGATTTAGAAAGGGCTTCTCTACTATAGACCACATCCACACCTTGGAACTACTAATCGAAAAATATCAAGAACGAAGGAGATCTCTCTATATCGCTTTCGTAGATTACAAAAAAGTATTCGACACAGTGTTTCACTCAAGCATCTGGGAAACGCTGGAAGAGCAGGGGGTAGAAAATGTATACATACAAGTTATTAAAACATATATTTGAACAATAAAGGTAGAGTAAAACTGGAAAAAACCGTACTAAGCTTTTCCATTGCCAGAGGGGTAAGACAGGGCGACCCTCTCTCTCCGCAATCATTTATTTCCATCCTAGAATATACAATGAGAAAAAGTATGGTATAAATATCGACGGCAAATACTTTAGCCACCTCCGCTTCGCCGATGATCTGGTTCTGTTGTCAGAAACGGGTACACAGTTACAACTCATGATTCATTCACTGAACGAAGCCGGCAAACAAGTAGGTTTAGAAATTAACCTGTCAAAAACAATGGTAATGACGAACAGTACAAAATTAAGAATATCAGTCGACAACGAGATACTTAACAGAAAACTACATCTACCTAGGTAAACAAATATCTTTTGACAGGAAAAACAATGAGTTCGAATTAGAACGAAGAATACATAGATCCTGGAATAAATACTGGAGCTTAAAGGAAATATTTAAGGGTGATATGCCAGTAAAGATAAAAACTAAAGTCATGAACACATGTCTCCTACCATGCTTAACCTATGCCTGTCAGACCTGGAGATATTCTAGTAAAGTAAAGAACAAAATAATCAGCTGCCAACGCGGTATGGAACGTAGTATGTTGAATATCCAAAAAAGACAAAAAATAAGACACACTAAAATAAGAAATATTTCAAAAGCTACAGATGCTCTATTTCACGCTCAAAGACTAAAATGGAAGTGGGCGGGACATGTAGCGCGATTACAAGATGAGAGACGGACCAAAAAAATTACTTCATGGAAGGGCCCAACAGGGAAACGCTACAGAGGAAGACCCCATGCGAGATGGCAAGACGACATCACAAAGATAGCGGGCACAAATTGGTTACAAATAGCCAAAGACAGAGACCAATGGGATCCTTTGGAGGAGGCCTTCACCCGAGGAGGGGTTCTTGCAAACCAAATTAGCTTGAAAAAAATAATTACTACAATCATAGATAAATAAATACACATAAATAGATATAATCGTAGCTTACATATAAAAAAAAATATTAGGTTTAGTAATAAGATAACATTGTTAAATACTCTTTCATTTGTTTGTAAGAAATAAAAAGGCTTTTTATTTTATTTTATTTATTATTATAGGGGAGGCACACGGCCCCACACACGCCGTGCACGGTGAGCGCCAACAATTTTGATGCACTCCCCCCGAAGGGAAAGCTAATTCGGGAACTGGACCGTAGTCCACAGCAAAATAACTGGCGAACCAGTAAAAGAGGCTTGGCCCCTTGTTAGTGCGTAAGCACAAACATCGACCGAAGTCGCGCATGTCAATGCGTGTAAACGCCATACAGAATACGAACGAATCCAGCCACAGTGAATGTACGTCACACGGTTTAGGCAAATAGGCACACTGGCCGTAAACCCTCCGTGAGCGCCACCACCTGCCAGACCGCCGCTCCTGCAGACGTGATGTAAGTGTATGGCATCACCACCAATTGCATGATCAGCATGGCTACTAGCCGCAGAGCGTGTCATGAGTATACCGCTCACCTCAAGAGAATGGGGTCCCACGTTGTGCGGCTTTCGGCAGCAGCCTTGAGAGTCTCCTCAGATCCTCCCGCCAGCTACCACCCGCATGAGGTCGACACATATGCTCCACCAACCAATACAACGGCAGATATAGCCAAAAGGCAGTTATAAGATAAGAGTAATAATTCACCATCAGAAAGGGTTTGTGTCACTGACGTTGAGTAAATGCATTTTCGATCATGTTTATCTCACCCACCAACAAGTTGCCTTCAATCATTCAAAGGTGGGAAAGTTACAGAGATATATTATTATGTTGTTATATGAAACCTCGTGGAGGGCAGACAGTCTGCAGCCCCGTAATGTAGGGACCCGACTTGGGCAAAGCTACTCAGGCGTGAGTCAAACCAAGACGCAGAGAGCGCCATTGAGAATAGCGTCCCACCAAACAACCATCGCAAAGACGCAACGCTGCAGAACGCAACAAGCATCAATAAGACTATCGTCGGGCTTACACCATCCCAGGGTCCCTCATACATCCCAGCAGACATCACCACCTGCATACCTCCATCGACCAGAACCACAAGAGTGCGTCGAATCAGGCGCAGCACACCCGCAGATCCATCACAAGACGCAATACCGTAAGTAGCAGTAAGTATCAATGCAACTATCATACGGATGTATTGTGTACATATATCTCCATGATGAATTTGATTGTAATGCAAATTCATCATGGAGACCTTCTATAGTATTGCTTTTGTATCATGTGAGTTTAATATCATAAGTCCCTAATATAGGACTAGTCATTGTGCTTCAGTACTTCAGGCAGTCGGGCTCCCGACCACCCCATATATATGTACAACTGCAGGAATGTATCTCCGGCAGCTCCTCCATACAAAACATCTATACATGAACACCTTCAATAACTTAGGAAAATTTTCTTTTATACGTGAACTCCTACCACAACTTAGAAAATTGCTTTTATACATGAACACCTTCCAAGACTTAGACCATTTTTAACAAATTTTCTAATTATCTTATAAATGTTATTTATCTATATTTTTATAATATTTTCGACTTGTATTTCTATTATTTATCTTATTTTAATTATTTTTTTCAAGTTTTTTTTTTAAATAAATTTATTTATTACGAAAAACAATAATTTTGCCTTTAATTTACTATGTTATTGGGATAATGTCTGAAATATATCGCCCCCTTACAACTAAAACCGATTATCTGACAAATTTTGTGAAAATTAGTTATTAACACCAATCGAAAGGGAATTTCAAGCTGCGTCTACTGGTAAAACCCGTTTTCTCATACGACGCATAGTTTAGAATATAAAGAAAGTGAAAACCTATTAAAATGCAATTATTTGCAATAAATCTACATAAAAAAACGACTAACCTATTGTAATATAAACTTTTTTAAATATCATCCAAGTAAAACCGCGTTTCCTTTTGTAATTTATTTTTGCTGTAGAAAATTACGAATAAACTTCACCAATGATTACAACTAAAGCAAGGTAAATAGTTTTAGTTGGTTTCTTCATACTGAGATCTTAAGGCAGTTCTGTGAATTTATTCAGCTAAAGTTTGTTACCCCACTTAAATAATTTTTACCAGACAATATTAGGACTAATATTTATAACTTAAATACAATTAAATCCGATTATACTCATTTAAAGGTTTTGACCTTATAATTTCACGCAAACCTTCTACTAATGCTTCAGGTAAAAGCAAATATCTGCACTTACTTGTTATTGCGTGCCTATAATCGTGCTTGTCGCATAAAATGTTACTCCGCTAAAAGCTGCTATCGGCCAATAGTCTGTTTCGCTCGCACACGGCGCTCGCGATCTGATTCGTCGTTCAGTTGGGTCCTGTCATTTAGTCGGTTTGCATTCGCGCGAATTATAGTGTCAAAGTTGAGTGGTGGTTGATGAAGTTCAATTTCTGATATTGATAGCAGTTTTTGTTTAATTTTGTGTTGTTTTTTGATTAAAATGAGTTCTCAGAAAGATTTTGTGCCTTTAGAAACTGGAGGAATTGAATTACCAAACAGTAAGTAGTGTTATATAGTTTTGAGGTTATGGTTCCACTACAAAACTTTTGATTGCTTGATTATAAAAGTATCGAATAAGTACTGTGATGAGTGTTTTTCTAAGTGAAATACAATAATTATTATGCTTATCACAGGAACTGGAAATCTCGGGCTGCAAATATCCGATGAAGATGACTATCTTTTATCTCAAGCCTTCGATTATTTTATACAACAACCTTTAAACAATCCTGTTGAAATTATCAGTAAGAAAGAAGGTAAGAGGTTTCAACATAATAATCGTAAGATGATGGACTTCGTAACCTCTGTACTGATAAGCAACTCATTATTTTATTAATCTACCTATGAACAGTACAAAACAGTAGAACTACTTCCCGTCTATTTGTTTAACGTAATGGTTTTGAAATCGCTTAACCATCTTAATGAAAATTTACACAGACATTCTTGGGACGTTGGAGACGGACCTAGGTAACTTTTCACCACTGGAAAATATTATCTCTTCACACGGACAAAACCAATTAACTGGCTGGCTGGTCTCATACTTAGTGTCATCATTTGTAAGAGCATTTAAAATACCATAGTAATAAATTTTACTTTACAGAATGCTCTAAAGAAAAAAAATGCAAGAAGGATAAACGTAAATGCAAACAGAGCAACGAAAATACAAACAATTCAGAAAGTATAGAAAATAGTACTGGTAGTGATTCCGCGTCTTGGAAAATTAACGTCGCAAAAAAACGAAGAGCGGAAGGCTTATCATATGTTACTGGGAAAAAAGGTCAGAAACCCGAAAGTTCCTACAACCGTTGACTGTTCTAAATGTAAATACCAATGCTCTAATAATTTTACTGAAAGTGTAAGACAAACTTTATGCAGACTATACTGGGGTCTTGATTTCGTAGGACGAAAAGCTTTTCTGCTGAAGCATGTGAGCGTTATGCCGACGAAAAGACTTTTAAAAGACCGGAAAAGGACAACAGAACGTTCTTTTACCAAAAAGTAGTTTTTTTTTGTAGTTGAAGGACAACAAAAGTATGTCTGTTCTAGATTTTTTTGCAGTACTTTGAGTATTTCGCCTTTTAGTGTGAATAATGCTATAAAGCGAACAGATCAATTTGAGTGTTATTTAGAAGATAAAGATCCTCGTGGACGTAAAGAAGCCCCAAATAAAACCCCACCTGAAAAAATAGAAGAAATCAAAAGCCATATAGCTTCTTTCCCAACAATGGAAAGTCACTACACTAGGAAGCAATCGAACTTAAGTGCTGGGCTTTCCATAGCTAAGATGTATTCTTTGTATGTTAATCAATGCAAAGAACGTAATACAAAACCGGTGTGAGAAATAACTTATAGAAGAATTTTTTCTAGGGAGTTCAACTTGAGCTTTTTCGTGCCCAAGAAAGACCAATGTCTTGTCTGTACTAAATACAATCATGCAAACGCAGATGAAAAAGCAAATTTAGTACAAAACTATAATGATCACATAGAAAGGAAACGAGCATGCAATGCTGAAAAGGCCAAGGATAAGGAGAGAGCAGAAAGAGAACTAAACTTTTTATCAGCAACATTTGATCTTCAAGCTATTTTACAAATTCCTAGTACTCAGGTTGGCCTTCTTTATTATACCAGAAAATTGACTGTTTATAACTTAACGTTATATGAAAGCGCGCTACCAAACGAAGCATATTGCTTTGTATGGACGGAGGTACACGTCAAAAAAAGTAGCTCGGAAGTTGGCACTATTCTAGCCCATTATTTAACAAACTGCATTCCAGAAAATGTAACAGAGGTTAATTTGTTCTCCGATACATGCGGGGAACAAAACCGAAATCAGTTCATAGCCGCTTTACTCTTGTGGGTTATCAATCAGAGCAAACAATTACAGATTATTGAGCACAAGTTTTTGGAGTCTGGCCATTCTTACATGGAGGCCGACTCAATGCATAGCTCAATTGAATCTGCGAAAAAACATCGTGACGTGTATTGTTTATCGGACTGGATCAATATATTCAAAGATGCCCGATCAAAAGACACGTATAAAAAGGGCACCAAGAAAGTGAAGAAAAACAAATACAACTTAAAACAGTTCACGTATTCTGAATTCAAAGATCTGAAACAATTAGCGAGCACTATAATTTTGAACAAGACAACAAACACGGAAGGTCAGAGAATTCAATGGCTTAAGATAAAAAGGATGAAATACATAAAAGGTGATCGAAACATATACTATAACTATGATATGTCAACCAATTTCATGATAATGGACGTCACTTGCTCAGGAACACAACTAAATACATCTGCAACTACTGTATCGGAAAGTCACGGCTATGCGACAAGGCGTAAATCGAAACAACCAGACGCCTGTGAACATGCGACCTCTTCGACTAGCTGTGAGTTCATATTTCCTTCTTTGCAACAGCTGTACAACAAACCATTGCCCATAACTGTAGCCAAAAAGAAAGATTTATTAAATCTATGCGAAAAGGGTGTTCTACCTGAAGAGTACCATGGCTGGTTTCAGTCTTTGGCTACAGATAACAGAACTGTTGACTGTTTACCTGAAGCAGCAATTTCTGAAGAGTCTGATTTATCTGACAATGAGTAGTACTTTCACAGAAAATTAACAAGAAAAAATTATCCTATGGTTATTTCGGTATTATTTTAGTTTTAAGATTTAAGTAGTCGGGATTTTCTACTTAGAGAAATAAAGATGTTTCGTGATTTAATTCCTGTTTTTTTTTTATATTACCTTGTTTCTTGAGTAAATAATAGTTTGTTTATTTTATTATTTCTTTTAAAACACATACAAAAGTACAAAAGTCTTGCAAATAATTGGATTTCATTCACTAAATTTGAAAGTTTATACAAGTAAAACCAACTAAGTATTCCAAAATCATTCATTTTAACCGGGTTCTTAGTGTTTACATGTTCTAACATTCTTTAAATTATAGTTATTGCAGTAGAGAATCCGAAAAAATATCAATAATTATAATTAATGCGATACTTTATAAAATAATAACAGATTAATAATATTTGTAATATACAGGTAAAACTGATTAAGTGTCTTCCCTTGTCAGCATTATTTGCATTTTTCAGTGCGTTTTTTAAGTTATTCTAATTTTAATCCAGTATCAGTTTGTCTTTCTTTCATAATTAAATCTTGAATCACAAGGATAACTAAATTTTAATACTTATTTATAGCGTCAAACTTTTAAATTGCGATACTATAAATTTAGGTTCATGTCGGATAAGCGGTTTTAGTTGTAAGGGGACGATATTAACTTTATGTTTATTAATTTAACTTAATTGCTTAATATATATCTTTTAAGACTATTTTTGACGCCCCTTTATATAGAATTTAAATATTAATAATAATATTGGGCCGTCACACTAGTATTTTGAGAAATTCGAGTTCAGGCAAAGGTTTACAGTACAGCACTTTAAACATACCTCCACATAAGATCCCACCAAGAGGCACTGAACTTTTACCTCACGTCATCGTCGGTGATGAGGCTTTTCCATTATGCACGTATTTAATGCGACCATATCCTCGCGACGATGTCCAAAGAGATGAAGAAAAAAAGAAAAAAAAAACTACAGGCTCAGTCGTGCGAGAAATACTGTAGAAAATACGTTTGGGATATTGGCGAGAAAATTTAGAATTTTTTAACGAAAATTGTCTATGCACGAAGAACATATTTTGACTGTTGTAATGGCTACATGCTGTTTGCACAACTTTCTAAGAGATGACACATGCTACTGGACAGAAAATGATTTAAACATTTCTCTTGCGGAAATGTCAGGGCTACAAAACCTACGAAACATAGGTGGTAATTCACGCACAGATGCTTTAACAGTCAGGGATAACTTCAAAAATTACTTCAACTCAGAAGTAGGGTCGGTTGAATGGCAATTAAGAAGAGTTCGGAGTGGAAGGCACGAAAATGTATAACAAGCAAAATAAACATAACCTACAAACTTACCGCTTTTATTTAATTTTCATCCAATTTCTACCCAGATATTGTCCCTCCTTTGGTGGTTAAAATAAAAAGGGTGTCTTAAATTATATAACTCTTCATACTCTTGCACGACTGCAATTAGTTGTGCGGCGTCCATGATGCAACAACGCATGTGGATGCAACGATCATCAAATGCAAATGGCGGGCGACCGGCGATGCGGAGCGAGCGTGCGCGCTGTGCATCCACTGATCGACATTCCGTATGATGTCATCGGCACGCATCGCAAAAGTTGCCCCTCGGAGCATGAGCGTCAGCATTTCCGACAAGCAGATCTATGCGATCCGTACGATGCGGATTGTTGGACGCACTTGTATAACTTTCTATACAAAGAATACTACGATGCGTATGATGCAATGCGTGCGATGCTGATAGGTGGACGCTTAGCTTAAAGGACATCGTGCGGTGAAATTGTGAGTCTGTTCCAATTTAAACTTTATAAACATAGAGTGAAATATTGTAAGAGATTTGCCAATTTGAACTCTAAATATTTGTAGAAAATAATTTTAAATTTTCGAGTAGTGCTTACTTAAAATATTTATATGACATTTAGACTTGTAAAATTTTTAGTGTAATATTGGTTGTTACGGGGAATCCATGCCGGATTTCACCTAGAGTTAAAGTGATAAAAAAGACGTAAAAATTTTAACATCAATTCAATGGACTTAGAATAATTGTATACTCGCAACATATTGGACTTGTAAATTTTTTTAGTTCAATTAAGGGGACTTACTTCTTACTTCATTGTTGATATCCGAATTAAATTTAAATTCGATTTATACGATTTCTTTTCTGTTAACATGGAAGGCTTTTTAAAATTCCAAGACGATATTTCAGATAGAATTTCTAAGGCTAGAAAGAATTAAAAGAAATCTCCTAATGAGCGACGAACCCCGTCTTATGTACAAATTAGATTAACTAATTTGGATGAATTATGGCAACATTTTAACAAGACTAATGAAACACTTGTTAGGGAATCGGAATATAAAGAGTTTAGGAGTAGTCAGTACTATGTCAAAAATGTATATAACAGTATAGAAGAATGTTTTATTGATTATAATTCGGAATTGTTATCTTTATCTTTAATACAGAAGGAAAAACAAGTCCGTCACAAGTTAAATTACCAAAAGTTATTATACCCACATTTTCGGGAAACTGCTTAGAGTGGGTTACGTTTCGAGATTTATTTACGTCGTTGGTACATAACTGTCAATCATTAGATAGCGTACAAAAATGCACTACATTAAGGGTTATTTAACTGGTGGAGCAGTTACTTAGGCTAATTCCGATATCGTTGGAAAACTACCAAACAGCTTGGGAAACAGTATTGCAAAGACTATTTAATTTACGTAATGCTACTGGCGAATCGGCCATATTTAAAATGTTTGATCTTAAATTATTTAAACAATCACAAGTTGTGTCTACACAACTTGTGATTGTTTAAATAATTTAAGTAAAAAAATTAAAATGAAAATGAAAAATCTTTATTCAGTATCTTTTACATAGTAATATGACTAATGGCCGGAATCTCCTTTTAAGTATGATACTTGTGTTAGGAGACTCCGCTCCTTTCCAAGATTACAAAAGATACATTGTGTCATAGTAGGTATTACCTACAGCAAGATAATATCAACAATTAGGATTAAACGGTGTCAAAAGAGAAGCTTTATGGTTAATAGTTAAGTGCTAACTTAAGTAAGCGCAAAAGCAATTAATTAACAATTTAATTTAAACAAATTGTTAAGTTCATGATGTGTGACATATAATTTTATGTTCATATAACGACAGGTTAATATTAAATTATGACTGAAAACTTTATTACCTACTTAGTGCTCGTCCGATAATAGTTTATTTTACTCTAACAAACAAAATCACTTTGGCCTCGTGTTCCCGTGTGACCTCGAGCCACGCATAGTGTGTGAAGGAGTTCGCATAGTGTGCGAACGAGTGGCGCGGGAAAGTGGAGACAAAATTAGAATTTGAGCATAGAGGAGGAGCGTAGAGGTAGTATAGGCCCTTAATGCAAATAGTCTAAAGGTGGATAATTTTGTAACTGGAGCATATATATCATTTAAATACACTGGTATACAAAAAGTACACTGGATATCACCCGCCTCTACGTAGTAGTACCTACCCTGCCCAAATGTCTTCTGGAACTACTCTTGCCACTACTAGCCCGGATATCTGCGAACTTTTCGCTTCATAGTTCTCTTCAGTGTACAATATTGATAAACTATCCATTCCAGATGAGCACTATGCAGATAAATCCCTCGCTTCTGACTTTATTACCAATATTTCAGTGACTAAAGACCAAGTATTTAGGATCTTAAAGAGACTTGACTCCACTAAAGACGCTGGCTCAGATGGAATACCATCTATCTTTGCTATAAGATGTGCTGGTGCTCTAGCTTTACCTCTATCCATGATAATTAATAAATCTCTTTGTTCTGGAACTTTTCCCAGCGCTTGGCAAAACTTTTCTTGTTATACCAAAACACAAAAGAGGTGATATAAACTCAGTGAAAAACTATAGGCCAATATCAATTATTACGGTGTTTGCTAAAGTTTTTGAAAAACTACTGTGCCCTATAATGTCTTGGCATCTAAGACACTTAACTGCACGGGAACAGCACAGTTTTATGAAAGCCCGCTTTACCACGACTAATCTGATATCCTTCGTTGAAGGCCTGGCCGAAGGTGTTGATCATGCGCTGTCTTTCGATGTCATATACACTGACTTTAGTAAGGCTTTTGATAAAGTCAATCACGATATGTTATTGCACAAATTATCATGTGTCGGTATAGGCGGTAATCTCTTGCGCTGGTTCAGATCTTACCTAACGAATAGACTGTCTGTGGTGGTAGTAGGATGATTCAAATCTGGCTTTTTTACTGCCTTTTCCGGAGTTTCTCAAGGATCCCATCTGGGTCCCATGCTGTTCGACGTTTTTATTTATGATATCGGTAAGTGTTTCCAAAATTCTAAGTTTCACATGTTCGCCGACGATTTGAAGTTTTTTAGATCAGTAAATTCATTAGAGGATGTATTGTGGCTTCAAAATGACTTGGAAAATCTAGTATTATGGTGCAAATCGAATGGTATGAGCTTGAATATTGACAAATGCCACGTGGTACGCTTCACTAGCAAAAAGCTCTCAGTGACTAGATATTATTGTATTGACGATGTACCATTAAAAGAGATTGATTGATCATATTAGAGATTTGGGTGTAACTCTCGATACCAAATTGCGATTTAATTTACATATAGATAGGATCACTAAAAAAGCCTTCAAGACCTTGGGGTTTGTCTTACGTTTTTTAAAAATCTGAAAAACGGAGTTTAAAAATCTGAGCACAAAAATCGCAATCTATATGGCACTTGTGCGTAGTAGCTTAGAATACTGCAGCGTGGTGTGGAACACGCACTTCGACGTATACAAAAAGCGTATAGAAGGTGTACAAAAAAGATTCCTCTGGCACTTGACTTACAGTTGTAAATTAGCAAAACTCTTGCCTAGCTATAATGATCGTTTGAAATACTTTCATATAAAACCTCTCGTTAGCTCAGAGCGATGTCGGACATCTTAT